GGAATTGTCATCAGTGGTCGACTGTAATTGTTTTGTTTCAATAAATTTTAATTTGTTAAAAAAAAATACTTTCATATTTCTACATTATAACATTATTGTATGCTATGACGTCATTTACTGGATTCTCTTGTGTCTTATAATGACGTCATTCACTGGACAGCGCCCTTCCATGTCGAAAATTGAGCCAAATGATGTTTAAAAAATTTTAAAAATGATATTTAGCCATTAAATTAATTAAGGGCATCATTTTCGTATTTCAACAGGAAAATAAATTCCAAGAAGTACCAATATAACATAATGGGTTTCCCTTCGATTGACTTAGGATACCCACAAAGTTAAGTGTGTAAAAAATGATTTTATCTGGGCCTGAAGAGTCCGGTGTTTTATGACAACCAATAGTAACGTCTATATGTAAGAACTTCAAAACAGCCACGCGCTTTCCACAAGTAGGCAAAGAAAATGAAGCAAATAAATTTCGAGATAAAGTGCCACTTGATCGGAATATAGCGAATTCCAGCCGTTGACTGATATATTTAGACCGTATTTCACTTAATAGGCAGAGTCACAATTAGAGTAAGCAGAGAAAGGAGCCGTCCGTCCAACAATTGACGTCCAATGTGAGTCGTTCGGTGAAAGCACCAAAGTGCTACTTATGTACCTACAGAGAGAGTGCTCGGTCCGACTCGACCACAGCCAGTGAATAGAGAGCCCATTACACTGAAAACAGGATTTGTGTTTTCTGCTCTCGATGTGGCGTTGTTTCATCTTATGTTCTCGTGTTACTGACACCAGGCCTTTCCCAGATTTTTTTCACACCAACGCAAACAGGGATCGAACCACTGGCTTGTCGATTAAAAACTGATTGAAGGCCAAGGTTGTAAGTTCAAACTAAGTTCAATGTTGATATGACTCTTAAAAATCGCATTGAAATCCTTCGCCAAACAAGAAAGACGTATCAAGCTATTCTTGAGTTTGTGAGAACGAATAAATCAATTCGTATTTCACGCTCTTTGAAGAAAATTATCAAAGAATTATAAGAAAATTATCAAAGAATTATAAAAGCATTATCAAAGAATTTTAAGAGAATTATCAAATAATTACCAAAGAATTATCAAAGAATTATCAAAGAAGAATTGGAAGAGGATAATGAATAGCTGAGAAGCAACGTCCTGGTAAGTTCAAGTCTATTAAACTAAAGATAACACATGCACCAGAAGACATTTTATGGAAGAGAAAGCAAACTCTTACCAATTAATTTAAAACTGATGTCTAAAAGAATTGAAGCGAAAACATTGAACAGAATTTTAATTCCAAATGTATACTGAAAACACCCTGTCGCGTAACTAAAAAAAGATCAAAGGAATGTAGCTCATCTGAACACTCTCCATGGAAATGGGGGGAAGAGCTGAGAGAGTCTTGCGACGTCTCGTCTGTGAGAAAGGGGTTGATGGATGGAAAATAATTCGTCACCAACAAGGACGCAGAGGCGCTTTTGGACTCTATCCAGAGTTGATAGTGAAGGAGGGAGAGCTCATATATAGCAACAGTACTACACTCACGATCTGATCTGACACTTGCAAAGATAGAGGACATCAGGAAGAGTCAGGTTCTTACTGGAGCGGTACAGGGAACCGACAATTTTTCCAGCATCTTTAGCGATGGATCGTATGTAAGAGATGCACTTGAGGTTTGGATTGAGGTTAAGTCCCAAGAGGCACTCAAGTCAAAGGGTGTGAAGGGAACATCCGATCATCACGATTTGGTTCTGGTTCAGATCGGCCTTGATGGAAGGTCTCTAGTTTGGTTTTCGTGACATTGAATGTAACCAACCAGCTTTTTCACCTACTGAACAGCCAGAGCTAGGGCAGAAGAGAGCTCGGTGACTTCATATTCGCTTCAAGGAGGTCAGCAAAAGAGACATGAGGTCGATGGACATGGACATGGAAAGCTGGGATGACGTTCCCAACAATCGGTCACGCTGAAGATGCGATTTAAGCCGAGGGCTGTAGCGAGACGAGAAGAAACGGAGTCCTGCCACTGGGGGTGAAGCGTGCACAAAGGAAAAAAAAAAAACAATATCTGTCTATATTCGAGAACACATGGCACAGTGGATAAAGGCGTTAGTTAGATCCAGTGACAGGACCGAAAGAGTGTGAGTTCAATACCCGGTTAAGGCAGTGGAGAACTTTCAGAGGGAAATTAAAAAGAGATAACTGATAACTCACATCCATTAAACATGGTACGTGGAACTAGAACAGTCTACTCCAGTGAGCGAAATAAAGAGCTAAGTTCAACATTCCAACCAACTGAAGAAGGCCGGAGCGTACAACGGCCGAAAGGTTGTAATAAATATGGCGAAAAAGTTGGGGACAATAGTCCGAATAATGTAAATGATGTAAGAAAACAACATGGCTGCATCTTACTGGTTGCGTCTTCACATGAAATGGTTGCAATGGAGACTGTCGAATTCCTTTGTGGGCCTCTACAGCCATAACATGGTTCGTCGGCATCAGCAGCTGAGGTTATAAGTTTGTGAATGTAGATCCATGGTTTCTTGAGATCGACAGATACTACACACACACACACATACGCACACACATATATAGATACATATATATATATATATATATATGTGTGTGTGTGTGTGTGTAATTCCGTAAAATTGTAGAAAAATGCAACAGATTCAAGTAATATTACTAAAAATGAACCCCTTTTGTGCCAAACATAGACCCCAGATTTGAATTTCGACATTCGCATATACAGGTTGTTCGCGTGCACTTTAAATAATTTATAGCTTTATTTGTATTTGCAATAGAAATAATCTGTAAAAAAATATTATAATCCATTGTTTCAACAAGATGGAGCTCCTTGTCACTTTGCTCTGCGTGTTAGAGAGTTTCTAAATCAGGAATTTCCTAACAGATGGATCGGAAGGGTTAGACCATTTTATTGGCTTCCACGTTCGCCAGATTTGACTCCATTAGATTTTTTTTATGGGGACATGTGAAAACAATTGTGTATGCAACCAAACCTAGTTCATTAGAAGATTTGAAAGCTAAAATAACTAATGTGATTTCAGACATTACTGTAAATCAGTTGGCAAATGTTTTCCGTGAACTGCAAAATCGTATTACCCTTTGTATTGCTAATAATGGAGAACATGTGGAAACTTAAATAAAATTTCAATAAAACCTTAAAAAATATAGATTTACTTCTTTCAAATCCTTTTTAAAAAATATTTCTATCGCAAATACAAATAAAGTTATAATTTTTTAAAGTACACACGAACTTTATGGACACCCTCAGCGATGTTATTTTAAGCGCGCTGAAAAACCAAAACAACCATCTTTGTCGTCTGTAAAGAAATTTGAGAGAATACTTCAGTAAAGGATCAGCAATATTTTCCCTCCTAAAAATAGATATTTAAAAATTGGGAAAGTATTTATTTACCAATAAATTTCTGAGTTTGGTAAAATGATTTTTATAAATATTACTGGTTTTAAGTTAGTATTCAGTTTTCAGTCTTTCCGTAAGTCTTTGAACAGGTTCGTTGTTGTGGACAAGCTGAATTCACAAACCTTTCGTATAAATTGTTACTCAACATTTCACATATTTTATTCGAAAATTAGAAAAGTGTAAGAATTTAGTGAAAAGATGGGCCGTAAAAGCAGTTTAAGTGATGCTGAAAAGAAAACTATCACCTCAGAACTCTCAAAAGGTAAATCTACCGTAGAAATTTCTAAAATGATAGGGAGGTGTCATCAAACAATGAAAAAGTTCACCGCCAACCCTACACAAGTACTACAAAAGTGCCTTTGTTTGTATCTGTTATTATTTGTTTGATTATCTTATCTATTAGCTTCTTTTGATCATAAACATTCACGTGCAACATTAATGAACGTTTTGTTTGCTCAATTCTGGGAATTTTACTAAACCTTTCTAATAATTTGGCACGCTCAAATCACCGCGCTAATAACAAATATGGCGCCAGTTTGTTTACATTGCTCAGATCCGTACGAAAATTTCAGTGATTGCGCAGCCCAGGGTTGCCAACATTGTGTGAAAATTGTGTGAATTGATTGGACGGTTTTTGACGGATTGGACGGTTTTTGAAATATTAGAAAAAAAGTTATCTCGATAATAATTTGGCACGCAGTGTGTGTATGTGTATATATATATATATATATATATATATATATATATATATATAAAAATCTTGGTAATCAGTATGGATAATCCAAAGGAAGATGAAATCCTGAGAGCTCGATGTTAATTCAGAGCGAATAATTTAATTTAAAGAAAAACAGACCACTTTAAGGCTCCATTGTAATAATTTATTTCACCAGACTTTTATTTTCCCCTGGATCTTCAGACATCACTTTCAAAAGGTGAAACGAAAAATGAATTTAAAATTTTGACGGGCAGTATTAAGCTTATATAAGTTGACATAGAATGTAGCGAGGGATGGTGTGAGATACATGGTCGAGTTTAGAGAGAGAGAGAGAAGGGGGAGTTTTAAAATTTATTTTTATATTTCTTTTTATTATAATACTTAATATTGAGGAAGGAGTGGGTAAGGATCAGACATTGGCCTCTGTAATCGGTCAACTCAACGGAAATGATATGGAGAAAGAAAAAGGAGAAAAAGAAGAAAAAGGAGAAAAAAGGGAAAAAGAAAAAAGTGGGGAGTAAAGAGAAAAGAGATGTACTTAGGGTTTTTGGAGGAAGAAGAGGGGTGGTATAGCTTTAGCAATTTAGATAAAAACAGATTTTAACGTTTGATAGTAATTTAAATGTTGAAAAAACTCCACACAGAAATTAATTTAATGTTTGTTAGCAATTTAAATATTCAATTAAATACAAATAAATCAGTTAAATATTCAATTAAATACAAATAAATTAGGGATTTAATATAAGTTGAATACTATATTAATAAACAACAATAATAAAAAACTAAAAGTTTACTAATATTAATATTTCAATATTGTGAATGACTTAAGGTAAAATCTATCTATCTATCTATCTATCTATCTATCTATCTATCTATTATTTTTCTATATTTGACAACACACATACATATTATATGGGATCAAAACAAAAACATGTTAAACATCGCTACACAACGCTAAAAAAGGGAGAATTTTGATCATGGTGAAATGTGGTTTGAAATAAAATCCTGGACAAGATCATGAGTGGTAGACAAGAAATTAATACAAACTATAAGCGAATGGTAACCATGTATCATAATTATGAAACAAATATAACTTGTTCAATTTTATATAAGAAGTTAATAGTAAATAAGCTTTGTAAAAGGAATCATATGTTCGGATTAAAGATCATAAGCTGGATTTTGAAACTAAACTTCCTATGAGGATTATCAACTCGACCAATTGGAAGGATTAGCAAACTTATCCTTGATGGAGTCATCAATCAGATTAAACGGCGACTTGGACTTTTACAGTGGACTGGTACCACAGATGTCATCAATTGGTTCAAAGAGATTAATAATAAGATGAACTGTTCTGTCATCGAATTTAATATCGTGGACTTTTACCCATCGATTTCCAAGGACCTGTTTATTTTTGCTTTGGAGTATGCCAAAGAATATTCCAATATTTCCAACAATGAACTTGATATAATAATGAACTGAAAAAGATCTGTTCTTATTCACAATAAACAGTGAGTTATGTACAATTCTAGTGGTCACTTTGATATTTGTATGGGATCATTAGATTCTACAGAGTCTTCTGACCTGATGGGTTTGTTTATTATAAATAATCTGAGTGCTTATGTTGATGTTAGTGTTGATAATATAGGATTGTATAGAGACGATGGTCTTATGTTAGTAAAAAATTCTACTAAAATTAAGGTAGACAAATTAAGGAAAATGATCCATAGATAATTAAAAAGCCTAAAACTTAAAGTTAAAATCACTTCTAATGTTAAACAGGTTGATTTTCTGGATATTACGTTAAAGCTCGTGAATGGTGTATTCCAAACTTATATGAAAACCAACACCAACCAAATATATATTTACCCGAACTCTAACCCTCCTCAATCTGTTATTTAACATATGCCCTCCTCTATTGAATATAGGATTAGCAATAATTCTTCTAACAAGATGTTTTCAATAAGTATAGTAGTGTTTATAATAATGCCTTAAAATAGTGGTTACAAGTACACAGAAACCAAGTATAGAATACATGATGATAATGAGTGAAAAAAGAATAGGAAGTGAAAAATCATTTGGTAACCCCCCCTCATTTAAGCAAATGGTTAGTACTAAGGGCAGAATTTCCCCCATTTAATTGATAAGCATTTTCCCAGAAATAATCCCTTCAGTAAAATATTTAACAGAAATACACTAAAACTAAACTATAGCTGCACCGATAATCTAGAAAAAAATGATGAAAAACATAATAATAAAATTTTAATCAAATATAAAAACCCGAGTAATAATATTCATTCCAATGTAGCTAATGTTGATAATACTAACAAATATAAGTGCAGAAATTCTAACGATTACCCACTGCAAAGCAAATGTCTGACCAACTCTCTTGTTTACCTAAGGACTATTTTTAAAATATAAAATCCGACTGTTTTATATACGGAGTAATAATTTTACATCGGGAGAACTAATTTTATATAGGGAGTACTAAGAATTCTTTCAAAACTAGTTGGTAACAACATATCCTATCGTTCACCAGTAGCATTTATAAAAATAGAACATATCTTTCCAAATAATTTTGGAATTTAAAGTGGTTAATAAAACTCCTACGGTTAAATAGAAAGTTTTTAAAAAGCTAGAACTTGTAAATCCTTAAATGAACCTTGCTTCTTATGCTTACACGAGAAATTAGAAATTATTACATTTGCTGGTAAAAATTCTCTATTAAACAAAAGAAGTGAATTAACTGTAAATTGTAGGTATAGTTTACATTTCACCTTACAATAGGATTAAACTTTAAATTTGGTAGTACTATCTAATATGGTCATAATTATTAAGTAAATTGTGGTGCACCTTCTATGAATGATGTTTTTAATACTATTTATTATAAAACATGATGTTTTTATTTTGTTTATTTGAATTTAATATAGTTATGTATTGCTGTTTAGTCGGCATTATGAATATCCTGTATGAATATTACACATTTTTATTATGGCCACTCGTTTATAGTTTGGATGCCAATCATGACTCTGTCTAGGAGATTATATTCCAGACCACATTTTACTATTATCAAAATTCCGCCTTAAATTTTTTTAGCTTAATTTTGAATTTAGCATAAGTCTGACACCTAACTGATTAATCAGGGTAAGCCCACAAGCCTCATTTAAATTTTGATTCGTTGTTATCTGATTCCTCTCGTCTCTTTCGAAAAATAATTCTGCTTTCGAAATTAAAAAAATAATTATATATTCACCATTTATTTACCATTGCCTGAGGAGGCACAGCTTTAGTGCTGAAACATGAAAGCTATTGTCTAGCGATTTGTACGAGCTTTTGTTTTAATCTCATATAATAAAGGATATTAAGCTCTACTCTGTACTGAGTCCTTTTTTAAAAATTAAATACTACTGACAGTGGAATTATACTCCGTTTGTTCTTAAACATATATATATATATATATATATATATATATATATATATATATATTCAAACATATATTGTTAAATATAACAGACAACGAATGTCTATTATGTTTGCTCATGAGCCGTTCTAAGCATCGTATAGTTGCTTTAATTTCGTGAGGATATATATATATATATATATATATATATATATATATATATATATATATATATATATACGCTCTACCTTGTGGAAAGTGCTCGATATTCAGTTGTATAGATATTAGTTTGTATCCTTTTTAAAAATAAACCAGTTTGTCTGATGATCACAAAACGTGAAACCAATGCTCACAAACAGATATCCAAACAAATGAGTATATATATATATATATATATATATATATATATATATATATATTAAAATTATGTTTATACAGTCTTTTTATAGATACAGATATGTAAGTAAATGCTCTGTTTTATAATAAATAGTATTAATAACATTTACCAGTCTGAATGTCTGAGAAATTTTCATAGAAAATATTCGTCCTCCGACATGAATCGAACCTGTATCCGATACGGAACTGTCATTTAGCCTGACGTGCCTTTAATCGATATAAACATAAAAATTCTTTAAAAAAATTTTCGGACTTTGTCCATTTTATAATGTGTGACGTCATATATATATATATATATATATATATATATATATTTGCAATAGCAAGAGATTACTGTTAAATGACCAATACTAGTTTGCGTATTTAAATATAGATGAACTTTAAAGAGAAGTTTTAGTGTTCTTCATAACACTCATCCTCTCTTTCTCTCTTTTGCTCGTACACACGCACACAGATGCTTATATTGATTGAGAATGATTTTCTCCAGTTCATGACGTTTTCTTTTCCCAGCGTCGGATTGGTTGAAGCTTTTGACCTGTCCATCAGACGAGGTTGTAAAATAAAAACAAACCTAAAAGACAGTCACTCTTCTGTTATAAGATAAAAACTCTGCTCGCTGGTAAGAGGGACGCCCCCCCCGATTCTTTTTCCTACACACCATCCAACGAAAACGACTGTCGAGGCTACACTCGTATGAACCATACCCGGGTAGAAACGGTTACTTTCTGTACTGAGTGACATCGCTAAAACATTACCGACAGCATCGCCAAGCGCACTCGTATGAAGTGTGCCGGGTAAATCTCCAGCCATTTTAAATTCACGACAAGAAAAAACAAAAAAAAAAAAAAAAAGAAGACAAATCTGCCTGAGGTAAAGAAAAAAACAAAAAAAAAAAATGTCTTTAATCGATTAGCAAATCTGCCTGTTCAGGTCGATTTTAACGCTGGGAAAAGTAAAATTCTTTCTAGAATTTGGAAAGTTGATGTGCTCCAAACCTCGACATAAGACGTAAACAATCAGAGAATTCGGTCATCACGAGTGCCGACGGTTTCATTTTTCTCAAAACCGACCAGGTTATCTCATGGGAATATCTGTTCAGGCACGGATCGCCAACTGGTTCTTGAGATATTAACCTAGAACACTAACCATGGGGTAAATTCTCCTTAATTTTTCTATTTTTAATTCCATTTTCAGCCTGTTTTCTTACCAAAATAATGTTTTCGATTCCTAAAAAAAAGTAAAAAGTTTGAACCTGCATATAAAATTTTCAAATAAAGATTTATATTTAATATTTTTTTGAATTTTCAAAATAGATGGAGGGTTAGTAGTGATGCAACCATAAATTCTAGGGTTATTGTTGTCACTTAATCTCTTTATTAACCACTATTTACTATCGTTGTCAACATCCCAATGTCGAAATAATAAAACAGGAATAGGTATAATGAAACATCCTAGGTTGTCCAAAATACCTGTTTCTACAGTACGGCGAATCCTCCTCATTGGATGCGCTACACTTTTGATTTCGTGTTGTACAAAAGTAAAATTTAGTAAATATTAATAATGAAAAGAGTCTCAAAGATCTACAAACGATTCAGAATGAAATTTCGACCAAAGTCTAATTCTACTGAGTTGTCCTTTTATTTATTTGATATGAAATATACGTTCGTAATTCAATTGTTGAAAACTTTCGATGTTTCCAGACAGGGACAAAGTGTTCGTTTTCAATTCTTGATGGTCAGGACTTAACTTCGGGCGTTTCTATTTAAATGGCGTCTCGTCTCCTTTCAGAGAAACGGTACTGTTAGGCGGAGCATTTGCGTAGTCTCCTAATGGTCTTTGTTGGCTTCTCTCACTGTCAACTAACTGAAATTTCTTAATTGATATTCTTCGACTTCTTACGAAAGATTTTGAAACAGATAAATGACCTCTTTTCATTCGGTTTTCGTTTGCCTTCATTTATGCTATGATCAAAAATTCATCAACAATTACTGACAGTCGTTTTTTCAAACTGTCTTGATTATATTCACAAAGTTTTCGGTTTTCTTCGGTTTCCTTCTTACTCAGTCAACTTTGAACTTCGAATGGGTCCCTTTATTCTCATAACAGATTTATATTCTTCTCATTTCAATGTTTTCATTAGTTACATGATCTGGCAACTTAATAGG